GAAGCAGAGGCGCTTGAGCTCGCCGCCCGCGCCGTCCAAGCCGCCGCCGCCCGCGCCCGCCTCGTCGTCCAGGCCCGCGTCGTGGGCGCCGGCGGCGTTGGCGGCGTTGGCTGCGCCCGCTGGGTCCGGAGCCTCGAAGGAGTCGAGCGCCTCTTCGGCGTCGCGGTGCTGCCGGTAGGTCATCCAGCAGCAGGCCTCCACGTCGGTCTCGTCGATGCCCCAGAAGCCGAGCTCCTCCTCGAAAAGCGGCCCGCACACGTCGGCCGGACAGTGCAGCTTGCCTGTGCGGTAGTAGTTGAGCACGTAGGCGAAGACTCCCGGGTGCCGGTCAAAGAAGAACTCGTCAGCGCCGGGATCGTAGTCGAAGCGCGCCGCCGCCTCGGGCTCGGTCAGGCCGGCCAGCCGCGTCCCCGGCAGGGTGCGCAGCGTCGAGCGGTACGTCTCATGGCGCACGCCGCCCACGTTGATCACGATCTTGCCGCTGTCGCCACCGCCGCCGCCGTGCCGCCCCATGGCCGCCGCCGGCAGCCCGGGGCATGGCTCGGCGCGCCGGCCCCCGGGCCCGCGAGGTGCCGGGGGGCCCGCCGAGGACGCGGCGGGGCCGGGCTGCGCAGACTGCTGCTGCTGCAGCGGCGGCGGTGACGGCGGCGGGGGCAGCGGCGGCGGGGACTCGGGCGGCTGCAGCGGTGGCGCCGGCTGCTGCTTGCTGGCCCCCTGGCGCCCGCGGAAGGACGAGACGCAGACTGAGCTCAGCATTGGACGGGGGGCGGGGCGGGAGGGGCGGGACGTCGGGGGCGGGCCCGCAGGGGAAGAGGCAGCCGGGATTGGGTGGAGGAGGCGACGATGCAGGGGGCGGGGCCGCGGCGGGGGGGGGCGGAGGTGGAGGAACAGAACTGATTGGCCTAGGAGGGGTGGGGTGGGGCTGAAGCAGCGAGGAGGTCGGGGACTCCACACCGCCTGGCTGGACGGGGCGGGGCTGCAGGTGAAGCACACCGATTGGATCTTTCGGAGAGAAGGGGCTGGCAGAACAAGGTGTTAAGGGGGCGGGCAGGGCAGGGAAAACGGAGGAGGTGGGACTAGATATGAGATAGAGATCTGATTGAACTGAAGAAAGGAGCGGGCGGAGCAGAGGAAGGGGACACGTCCAAACTATTTAAAGACTCCTGACAGGCATGGGGGAGACGGTCCTGATTGGACAGAGAAGGGACCTAAAGCGCTGGCAAGCAGAACCCGGTGGGGAGGGGCGGATGGAGACAGCCGGGTTGGGTCCTTAACTCTGCTTGGTCGCGACAGGGAGGATGCTAAGAAGAGGCAGGGCCTAAGAAAGTTAGCAAATCGTCTTAATTGGGCTGGGAGAGTGAGGGGGCGATACTGAATGAGGGGCGGGAGCTGGAAATGAAGAGTAGAGAGTACTTTCACGCGAATGGCACTAGGCTGGCCTGAAAGGAGGAAGAAGGATGGAGACCCAGTGAGAAAGAGGGGACATTAGCGAGGCCTGGGAACCCGAGAGTGTCTGGCTAGGACTAAGAAAGAGGGCGAAGTGAGGAAGGGGAGGGGCCGGGGCTGCCAGCTTGGCCTGGTTAGACAGGGCTGGGCCGGGAGAATGATCGTCAGAATGGAGAAGGTGGGTGGGGTCTACGAAGGGTAGAAAACCTCTTGAAGGCGCTGTGGGAAGGCGAGACTAAGGGAGGAGCGGGGTTCTAAGAGGCTTGGAAGCAACCAGGCTAGGCGGGGGTGGGCAGGGTTCAGAGTAGAGAAGGAGTAATGGGGACGCTATGGGGAAGGTGATACCTGCAGGGTACAAAGCTACTGGGCTGGTTGAAAGAATGGGACTTGGAATGGGGAGTCTTGGGGCTCAGAGAACCGGGGAGAGAGTCATAAGAGTCAGCGGGGCTTTAGATAGAGAGACAAGAACTTTCAACTGGTGATGACAAAGGGACCAAGTCTACAAAACAGCAGACTGCAGACTGGAGAACTAGGGGATGAATGAGGACCGGTGAAGAGGGAGCCCTAAGGGCTGCGGAGGGGAGAAACCTAAGAGCAGGGAAGCCTTAGACTAGGCTGAGGAAATAGGGCGGGGCCAATGAGAAATGGGGAGGAGCTAGGTGGCCGATCGTCCCGGAGGGAGGGGAGATACGGAGAGCTGGGCGGGACTAGCTGAGGGGCGTGTCCGGCCCCGCCCCCCGGCTGGCCGGCCGCCGAGTGGCAAGGAGCAGGCTCTGGGGCGGGGCCAGCGGCTGCTGCCGGGGCTGCGGCGGGAGGAGGCGGTGCCTGCGGGAGCGAAGGGGGAGGGTCAGGGGCTGCAGGCTTCCTCCCGCTGCACCGTCCCTGGCCCGCCGCCTCTCTTTGCAGGTGCGGCGGCTGGTTCGTATCGCCTACCCACTCACCCTCGCTCCCGTTTCTGCGTCTCTCGATGTCTTTCTCTCCCCTTTCTCTGAGTTATTTGTCCCCTCGTCTCTGTCCTCGCCACTCTGGGACTCTGGCCCTTTGTTCTCTGAATCTGTCCCCCCCTCCCTTGAGTCTTTGCCGCCTTCGAAGGCTCAGTCTCTCCTCTCCCCCAACTGTGTCTCCTTCCCCCCACCCCCAGTCTCTCCTGATCTCTGTACCTTTTTTTCAGGAATTTGCCTCTGGGTCTCTGTCCCTCCTCGTTGTGTCTCTGTCCTCCATGCCCGAACCCCCGCCAGCCTGTCCCCTCTCTGGATCTCTGTCCCTCCAGCCCTCTGTCCCTCTTCGTGTCTCTATCTTCCACTCCCCTCTCCCAGTCTGTACCCTCCACCCCGTCCCTGCTCATTCATTTGCGTTTCTGTCCTCCTTGCTCTTGTTCACTGATAACGTCCTTCCCGGTGTCTTCTTCCCCTCCTCTGTAAAGTGCCTTTTCTCCTTCTGATCTTTCTCTTTCTCTGTCGCCTTATGCGGGTCTCTATCCCTGCTCCCCTTGTCTCTTTCACCCCCTCTGAGTCTTCATCCCCACTTCCTTGGGACTTTGTCCCGCCGTCCTTTGGTTTCTGACCCCCCCCCCCATCACCCTCTTTAACCCCCATCCTGGCCAGGACTCGAGGCTGCGTCACTGCGGAGAGAGTTGCAGAAGTGGGGCCTGTCCTGCAGACCAGGGAGGTAGTTTCCCTCACTCCCCAGACCCTGGGCTCCCCCACTGCCCGCAATTCACTATCCTTAATCCAGTATCCTTGGGCAGCCCTCAAGCCCCCAGTGGGACCCAGGAAGGCAGAGAAAAGACATCGGAGCTTCTTACTCCTCTCTGCCCTGGATTCTGGTGTATCCCCAAGCAGAAGCAGTGAATCTTGAGGTGAGGGACTGGGCTTAGGTTGAGGCTTGGGTTGAGTTAGGTTTCTGAGCAAGTTGGGAGTGGGGGTGGTGGCTGGAACAGGGGTTGAGTAGGCACTGAGGGGTGGGAGTAGGGGCTAGAGTTAGGACCTAAATCAGCCACCCTCACTTATATCCTCTCCCCTCCCCCCAACTCTACTTTTCTCTTCTGCTTTTGACAGCAGCCAGGCACGGGATCAAGTTACCAAATCAGCATTTTTTTGCAGAGGTCAGAAGGTGTGGGAGAAGGTGCGAGGGAGGGGGAGGGGGCTGCCATAGGGGAGAATATGGGATAAAACTCCAGATTAGAGACCATGTGAGCAAGGAGGAAGACCCGGGCAAGGAATAACAGAATAGTCCAGACTCACTCCATCAGGCCCTGGGAAAACTGAATGCCATCCCTCCTTCATGGCCCTCCCCAGACCCTACCAGGATATGTGGGGGTTTTGTGAGCCTCGATTCTGTACCCATGGGGTAGGCTTCTGGAGGCATAATGTGGGCTCCGGTTATGGGGTACCCAGCCCTGCCAACAGACTAGAGGGAAGTGGACTCAATTTTTGGCGATAGACACCAGTAGGGTGTAAGCCAATGTCTGTCCTCGTCTTCAGACCTTTCCCACCCTTCCTCCTTCCCAATCTATCCTTTCTCTGGTCCTCCAGGCGCAAAATTACTGAAAACTCCAAACTCCTACCTCCGTCATCCGCGGCGCCCTCTCCTAACCCTCCTCCCCCATTCTCCAAGGCGCTGGAATTGGGAAAGAGTCTTCTGCTTCCCGATTTCTAGGACCCCAGCCTTGTGCGTCCGCTCCCATTCCCATCAGATTCCCTAAATCTAGGAAAGAGAGTCTCCCGAACACTAAAGCTGGAAATATGGAGACTCTCTACCTAGGATCCATGTTCCCCTAGACCCCTCTAAGAACCTTGGTCCCCAAAGCTCGTTATTAAGGAAGAATCTCTCCGCTGAGATTTTTGAGTCCCCATCTCCCGGGTCTCCCGCCTCCAAAACTGGGATTTGGGCCGTCTTACCGCCCCCGGACCCTGTGCCTTCTCCCCCTCCCCCGTACTCACCCCAAGTCGAGGCGGGGCGGGGATGGGGGAATCCGGGGCTGGCGTTGGGGGAGGGGTGACCCAGCCCCGGCAGCTCAGGGCAGCAAGAGGCTGTGGAGGGGGGGAATGACATCATCGCCGGAGGAGGGACAGCACAGCTCCCCCCAACCCGGGGGCTTCAAGCCCCGCCTTTATGGCGGACCCAGGGGTCTCCGAATCCCAAAGGGAGAGAGAAAGGAGATGAAGTCTGCGGGAATCATATTCCATCCCCTTAAAACAAGGGTTGAAAAGCCCTTTACGATTTAGCCACCACCCCCCACTGCCACCTGTCGCTGCCGTCGCGACCTGTCGCCTCCCACGCATGTTGTGGCTGCGCCCGCCCGCGACAACAGGAAAACGCGGCCTGGCATACAAGGTCCATGATGCTCCGCGATACCGAGCTCCTTTTTCTATGGGCGGCATAGGTGAAGGGCTTCATGGGATTCGTAGTACAAGACCCTCGCACCGCTGTGAGCCCTGCCCTGGAGAAAAGGAGTGATACCTTTCTCCTTCCTCAACTCCAGATTGTTGAACACTAATTTATCTCTCAAAAAATAGTGTATTAAAAAAAAAAAAAAAGGAACCCAGGTAGGGTCAATGTAAATAACGGATTTTTACTGAGCAGCTGGGCCTCGGCTACTACTCGGTGCGCATGCGCCTAGCCAGGGCGCCAGCCGGAGAACTGCGCCTGCGCGGACCCACCCCCTTGTGGTCCGGCTGCTGGAGGGCTGGCGCGCGCCAACCCCACTCGGGCACCGCCTGTTAGGTTTCCGCGGTCGAAGACTGCAACGTGGGCCCCCAAGAAGACATCGCCGAGAATCCAGAGGGGCCCTGTAGGCGGAGGTATGTCCAGGGCCTGGAAGCCAGACAAGCAGAGACGGACACCACCCCGAGCAATCTGCAAGGCGACAAGACAGGCCGCTCAGTGCGTGTCACGCGCACGGAACCCTCCTCTTCCCTGGGAGCCAGAGCTTTTCCCTGCCCACTATTCCGGGCACCAGAAGTGTTTCTGGGGGCCTCTGCTCCGGCCTCGTGACGTCTCATACCCAGCTCCATCTTCTCAAATCCCATCTTATTGTATCACTCTGACTTGTGACGGCCACCTACCTGGATGACATAGTCCTGGGCCGTGAGGTTAAACCAGACCCCCCCAAGGAGGAAGGAGATTGGAGGGAGCGTTGGGATTTCTGAGCACTGGATGAGGTACTGAAGAAGAAGAGGAACAAGTGGAATTAGGTACTCAGGGCCTTGTATGGTCAAGCTCTGCTGCCTTCTCTGGCCTTACCGGCTCTTCTGCCCTCATGTAATTATTGCTACTTCCTTTAGGCGCCCTTTTGATCAAACCTTTTACTCCATCTACTTGTAGATCAAAAACTGCTAGCCCAATGAGGCGCACTGAGCCCATGGTGTATCTAAGTTGTCTTACACTGTGTCAAAAATGTGTTGAAAATTATTTAACAACTGTACACCACGGTGGTACAGACTCCAAGTGATATCCTTGGAGTCTGCTGCTGTGCAACCTTAGACGAATTGCTGAATCTCTCTGTGCCCCGTTTCCAATTTGCAGGTGTAGTTGATGGTAATACTTCACAGAGATGTTGTGTAAGAAATAAATGAGTTTGGAAGACTGCCCGACACATAGTATCATTATTCACAAATCATGAGGTTTCAAATAATGTTTTCAGCTTTCTCCCAACAAAGCATAAGATCTGACTTTGCCTACATGGAAACATGGCTGGAACTGAGTGGCTGGGAGCTGCCCTTTTTAGATTGATGGGGCACCTGCTTTCTAGTTTGCCTCCAATCCCACCACTCCCAGCTACCTAAGAATACAATATTAGGCTACTGTAAATGACTACCAGGAAGTTTATCTTCCTTAAAAACCACTACTAATTGCCTTGTTGGGAAGGCAAGGAATGGTGAGAAGTTAATTTCCAGTGTACATCTCTCGAGAGATAACAGCATCACAGTATTATTCTAAGTACCTTAAGTGGGTTAATTGATTTAATCCTCACAACATACCTAAGAGGTGAGTTCTAGTGACCCTACTTCAGAGGTCAGGAAACTGAGGCCAAGGAACATTAAGTGACTTGTCTGAGACAGCACAGCTGTTAAGTGGCAGAGCTGGATCCCAACCAGGGTAACCGAGCCACTATGATCTACCTGGTTCCCTTGGCTCATTACAAGTCCAGGCTTTAGGCATTTGGCTCAGAATCCCCACAAACTGCATTTTCTCTACCCTCTTAGAAGTATCAAAGAACACAGAGAGCCACAGAAATTCTGACCTGGAAGGACCCTCCCCCCGCCCAGGAGCTGCAGGGCCTTGTAGATGTGAGTGAGCAGCTTTTATGTTGCGCTGTGGCCCCCTCCATGCTTGAAACTCTTTGCATGGCTTCTCTGAGCCTCCTTCACTTTCCAGGGGCTCCTCCCCTGCCTCTGGCTGCTCCTGCCCTGTCTCCACATCTACTCTACATGGATGTTCCCCAAGGCTGCTCCTGCAACCTCTTCTCCCATGGCAGAAGGGCTGTCTGAGGGCTGATGGCCCCTAAATATTCCTGAGCTTCCTCCACACCTTCCCAGACACCCCCAGGCTCCTTAGGCTTCTCACTCCCATCCAGCCCTGAATAAACATGCATCGCCATCTCCTCCTGTCCACAATCATGCAGCCGATGTCTAGGAGGTGTCCTTGCTGCCTCCCACTACGCCCCCCCCCCAGCCTGTCACTTATGATGGGCAGTGCCTTTTGCCCTGGGATACCTCTTAAGCACCTATTCCCACCCTCGGGCCCTAACATGGTGCCTAGTGTTTGCCATCAAAACTCCACCAGACACTGGGTCCTCACCTCCCCCAACAGCAAGGAGAATCCTCCAATGGCTGCATTCAGGGCCTGGATCTCTTCAGTGGGTCCTGTGATGAGGGATGTACCTGTGTCCAGGATGGCAGCACAGCCCTGGGCACAAAGAATCAGCCCAGTGCCCACCTTCACACTGTGAGGGGGCAAGGGGTTGACATTGAAGCCAGTGTCCTAGGAGTCTAGGCCCTCAGCCGTCCTTCCCTCAAATACAGGAGCCCTAGCCCTGTGCCTTCCTCCCTTAGACCCAGGAGTCTGGGCCCCCAGCTCCTTCTCCCTCAGACCCAGGAATCCAGGCCCCCAGCCCCTCCTCTCTCAGATCCACGAGTCTGGGCCCCCGGCCCCCTCCTCCCTCAGACCCAGGAGTCCGGGCCTCCAGCTCCTCCCAGGATACTGGAAATCAGGCTCTAGCCCATTCCTCCCAGACCTAGGTGGCCAGGTCCCTCACCGCTCCATGTGGATCTGCCAGTAGGCAGGGACCGTGACTGGCAAGAAAGTGAGGGGTGGGATATAGTGAGCTGGATCGGAGCCACCCAGGACCAGCTCTCCTCCATCCACTGCTTCAGGATCCCTGCAGAAGCAAAGTGCTTTCAGTGTCATGGGTATCTGCCTTGCCAGCCCCAGAAGGGGCCAAGGAAGGGAATTCCTGCCAATGCAAGGTCTCCAGGTTCTAGATGGGTAAGTGGGATGCAGGCAGGGTCTGATGTTGGGACTGGAAGCAAAGCAAGAATTGAAGAGAAATAGGACCGTTCTTGATGATGATCAGGACCGTAGGGTGCTGGGGGCTTCTGAAGTGAGGGTGGGACCTCTAGGTTTGGCTGTGGAAGGTGGAACACTTGGGGTGGAATTTAAGTGGAGCGTCGGGGTTTGTGAATTGGCTCTGGCCGGTGTGACTTGGGTAGAAGTGCAGTGGCTTCCTGGGTGCGTGGTGAGACTTTCTGAATTGTAACTCTCACAGTTCAGAGGTGGTAGACTTCCTAGTTGGTTGAGAGGGCAGGAGGGAGGGCGGTGATTTCTGGAAGCGTAGGAAGAGAGGATCTACCCAGCGGTAGATGGGGCTTCCTGAGTGGGTTGGACATCCGGGTAACTGAATAGGCATAGGATTTTATGCCTGTGGGGGATGGGCCTCCAGAAGAAAGGTGGGGACTTCCTGGGTGGTGGGTGGGGCTTTCTGAGCATGTGGTTGAGCTTCCTAACAGGTAGGTGGGACTTCTTGGGTTAAAATGGGTAACTTCTGGGGCACCTGGGTAGCTCAATTGGTTAAGCATCTGCCTTCAGCTCAGATCGTGATCCTGGGGTCCTGGGATTGAGCCCTACGTCAGGCTCTCTGCTCAGGGAGAGTTAGCTTCTCCATCTCCCTGCCTTCTGCTTGTGCTTTCTCTCGATCTCTTCCCCACTCTCTCTCAAATAAATAAATAAAATATTTTTAAAAATAAAATAAAATGCAATACTTCTGGAATGTATTCTTAAATGGCATTTGGACTTTATGGTGAAGAGGAGATTCCTAAGTTGAGTAGGTAGGGCATGAAGTTTCCTGGTTTGGGTTTGAAACATGGAGCATTTGAAATGATAGTGAGAGGGACTCCTGGGTGGCTCAGTGGTTGAGCATCTGCCTTTGGCTCAGGGCATGATCCCAGGGTCCTGGGATTGAGTTCCACATTGGGCTGCCTGCAGGAAGCCTGCTTCTCCCTCTGCCTGTGTCTTTGCCTCTCTCTCCATGTCTCATGAATATAAATAAATAAATATAAATATAAATATAAATATAAATATAAAAGAAATGATGGTGTGTCTTCAGAAGGTCTTAAGTTTGCTTGGTGAGTGGGATTTTTGAACAAATGTTACTTATATTGGGTAGGTGACTTGGTGAGTGGAGGATGAGACTTCCTTTATTGGGTAAGGGACTTTCTGAAAATAGACAACCCTACTTCTGGGGGCTAGGACTCATAGGAAGGTGACCCTTCCCCTTTACCTGTTGAGATAGAAGGAGAAGACAGGCTTATCCAGTAGCCCCTGGTCCACCAGTAAATCCAGCGGGGGCTGAACTCCTCCCACAGCCAGAATGGGGAAACCGAGGCCCAGTATTCCATCGAAGTGGGCTAAAGTGAAGACCAGGCTGGGCTCCCACAGCGCCTCTCCAAAAATCACTGATGCACTCTTAACTCCTCCAATCTAAGGACAGATTCACATGGGCAAATTACTTCTTGGAAGACATAACCCTGAGATCTTCCAAACCAAGGCATGAATCTGGAGACATCTGAAAACAACTCCGACTGTCTAGAAAGCTTTGCTTCCCTACTTAGGAAGCCCACTCCTTTAACCAGAAAGCCCCACCCCCACTTCAGAAGCCCCGCCCCCCACTTCAGAAGCTTCATCTATTTGCCTAGGTAGCTCCACCTCCTAAACCACTTCCCTAAGCCAGATCATATTAGTCTGGCTAATATTAGATCATATTAGAAACATTAGGGTTCTCCCAGGCTCAAGTCTTCCTGGGGTCAATGGTCACGCACAGTCAGCTTGTCCTCACTCAGGATGCCATCTAGCCTCCCAGTTCCATATTGAATGGCAAACTTGGTCCCATTGGGTTGGAATGAGCTGGAGGCTTTGGAGTTGTAGCGGTGGTGGAACCCTAGGACAGAAGATCAGGGCAGTGTCACTGGGGAAAGGGAATCTCCCCAACACCTCCTGCCTTGGTGAACTTGTCACCTGTGAGGGCATGTCAGAATAGAACAGTGCCTCAGATATCCTTGGCAAGCCAAGAACCAGCCTCCTCCCCTTCTCCCATCACCCCTGTTCAGCCTTATTCTCCCCCATGAAAGCTCACAGCAGGGCAGACTGAAGAAGTGGCATCTTATGGATGGGACCCAGAGATTGGAGGAGCCAGTGTCAAAGATGACAGAGAAGTTTTGCGGGGGTGTTCCCAGTCCAATTTCCCCGTAATACTGGACCTGATGGCAAAACGGGAGAGAAGGAAAATGAAGAGCTTGACTTCTTAAGCGCGGAGAAGGGGAGGGACTCTTTGGGACTGTGACTCACATTCATGTAGTTAGAGAGAGGTACAAAGACAGGCTTGTCCCCAGAGGATGGGAACCCCAAACTGGGGGGCACTGTTGGCTTCCCCCATCCCCTCAGTGAGTTCAGGGTCTTGAGTCCAGGGTAGACTCGGCGGAGAGGGATCCTGTAGGAGAGAATACTGACAGTTAGGAAACTACTCTTCCTGGAGACCATGTATAACAGAATTTCCCAAATAGGATGTAATGACAAAGCAAATGTCTCTATGGCCCTACAGTAACTGTCATTACCAGAAACCCTACAATAACAGCCTCCCAGGAAAACTAACCAAACATATCAAACCAAGGTGACAAATTTCCCCCAAAGACTCTACAAGAGTGAGCCATCCCAAACAGACCTTCCCCAAAAGTTTTCAATAAGAGACTTCTAATTAAAATAAGTCATTCTCAGGAAACGGGTATTCACAAAGGTTCTCAAAGACCCTAAACATAAAACTAGCCTTTGTAAAGATCCTGGCATGCTTCACATCATGATGCTGAAGACTATTTCCCTCACTATTCGTGGGGGAGGAGAGTACAAGCTTCAAATCCCAATTTCACTCTTCACACTAAACTACATTCCAGATAATCAAAGACCTAAGGTGAAACGTAATATCATAATATTGCAAGAGCACTAGAACGAAGTAAAATGTTTCAGTAACTCTGGCTTTTCAAAGTATGATAAGAAGATCAGAAATCACTGGGGATTTCTGATCCCCACCTGGGTGGCTCAGCAGTTGAACGCCTGCCTTTGGGCCAGGGTGTGATCCTAGAGTCCCAGGATCAAGTCCCACGTCGGGCTCCCTGCATGGAACGTGCTTCTCTCTCTGCTTATGTCTCTGCCTCTCTTTCTGTGTGTCTCTCATGAATAAATAAATAAAATCTTTAAAAAGAAAGAAAAAAATCACTGGGGAGAATATTGATGAATGGGACTCCAAAATTTTATTTATTTTTTAAAGATTATTCATTTATTCATGAGAGACACAGAGACAGAGAGGCAGAGACACAGGCAGAGAGAGAAGCAGGCTCCATGCAGGGAGCCCGACATGGGACTTGATCCCGGGTCTCTAGGATCATGCTCTGGGCTGAAGGCGGTGCTAAACCACTGGGCCACCCAAGCTGCCCGGAACTCTAAAATTTTAAACCTTTGTACTTCCTTCCCCCAACACACAAAGCTGTTAAAAAAAAAAAGTTTTTAAAAATCAAGGGGAAATAATTACAAGTTATATGTCAAAGAGTTAATATCTCTAATATGCAAAGAGTTCTTTTTTTATTTATTTTTATTTTTTTTTTATTTATGATAGTCACACACACACACACACACAGAGAGAGAGAGAGAGAGAGGCAGAGGGAGAAGCAGGCTCCATGCACCGGGAGCCCGACGTGGGACTCGATCCAGGGTCTCCAGGATCGCGCCCCGGGCCAAAGGCAGGCGCCAAACCGCTGCGCCAAACCGCTGCGCCACCCAGGGATCCCCAAAGAGTTCTTATAAACAAATAAGAATAAGATAAACCACCCAGCATTGGGAGACAATTCTCCATGCTTCTCTCACATTTTCACAGAGGGACTGACTACCTTTGCCAAAGATTTCGTTTAATGAACAGCCTTGGGAGAGAGAGTGTCTCCCTTTGGGGCAAAAAGCAAACAGGTTTATAATCCATTATAAAAGGTTCAGGGTCCCTAAACTTAGGGTTCCTCTCCTGTATTGCACCTCACTGCATGTGCAAGTCAAAACAAGCCCTCTTCATCTCACCCTGTGGGTACTGGGGCTCAGAGAACTGATGCCCTGGCTACTACTGTTGCCAGGAGTAATAACCTGTCCTTGTCTCTGACCTAGGAGTCTTATGCCTTCTATGAGCAGCCATGAAACTGTGGCAAGCTAACTTCACAGTTCTTGACATTTGGTAGGAAAACAGGCAAAGGACATAAACCGGTAATTTGCAAAAGAAATCAAACCAATTTCTAAACAATTAACATCTTTTTATGTTAGATGTTGAACCCCAATTGTCATCAAAGGAATATAAATGACAAGAATCAGAAACCTTTTTTTGAACCTGCAAATTGGCAAAGAATTAAGAATACTCACTGTTGGCTAGAAGCTTAGATTGATATAAAACTCTCTGGAGGAGGATTGGGCAAATATATATCGTAGGGTTTAAAATTGTACACACCTCTTAACCCAACTTAATTTCAGTGAATTCCATCTACAGGAGATCACTGGACAAGTGCACAAATATGTTTATGAGGATTTATCTAATTTTGAAAACTGGAGATGGGGCACCTGGGTGGCTTAGTGGTTGAGCATCTGCCTTTGGCTCAGGTCATGATCCTGGGGTCCTGGGATCGAGTCCCACATCGAGCTCCCTGCAGGGAGCCTGCTTCTCCCTCTGCCTTTGTCTCTGCCTCTCTCTCTCTGTCTCATGAATAAATAAATAAAGTCTTAACAAAAAAAGAAAACTGGAGATCAACTAGGTAGGACTTGGCTCTGTGATGGAACACGCATAGAATGGAGTCCATTCAATCACTAGAAAGGAGAAAGGAGATCTTTATGCCAGTGGTTCTCAAACTAGCAGGAAGAGGAATCACCTAGAGCAATGAGCAAAGTTTTTTGTAAAAGCTTTGCCTGCTGTTTGTCTCTGTTGAAACTGCTCTACTCTTACTAGTATAGCACAAAGGCAGTCCTAGACAACATGTCTGGGTTTTGTCAAATTCCATTTGCAAAACAAAGACAAAAGCAAAACAAAAAACAAAAAAACAGGTGGCAGGATGAATTTGGCTGTGGAGCTTGGTGTTTGCCAACTCCTGACCTAGAGTTGAAATTCAGAGCTTGTAGTTTCTGATTGACTAGGTCTGAGGTAGAGCCTGAGAATTTGCATTTCTAACAGGTTCCTGGGTCATGTGGATGCTGTTGGTTCTGAAATAACTCAGAGAACCACTGCCCTTTGCCCTGGCTTGGGAAATGGTTGTGATTTATTAGGTTCAAAAAGCAGTTTAGCAAACATCCTGTGCAGTAATATTTTTGTACCTTCTTATTGTCATTCCTGAGAGCCCTGCTCCCTCCCTCACATCTTTGCCACACACTCCCCTGCCCCCGTTGCCATGACCAATCATTGAGAGGCTCAAGAATGTCAAGTGGAGAAAATGTTTCCTGGAAGAGGACCCTCCTTCTCCCCATCAAGAGTTCCAGGAGATGGGAGAACAAAGGAGAGGAAGTGAGAGGTGGGGGAGAGCATCAGGCCAGGGGAGTGGGGAGGTCACTGGGGCCCCCAAAACTGGACTTCCTGAGACCTAACCAGTTTGGAAGATGTGAATCTGGGGGAGTCACAGCTCTGAGTCTCCAAGATCTTGTTGGGCTAGGGGTGTGGGGAGTTGTATGTCTGGAGACCCCAGGACCAGTTCATCAGAGCTCAGGGTGGCATCTGGAGGGTGCTCCCAAAAACTTGTCAGGAGAGGCGAGAGAATGGGGAGTCCCCCAGTTGAAGGTCTCAGAGTTGGAAGACCTCGGACTGAAAGGGTTTCCCTAAGGTTTCGCTCTTAGGTCATATGGGGTAGAAGCCCCGCGGGGATGAGAGCCCCTGTTTGGAGATCTGCAAACCCAAGAGATAGGAGTCATGGGTCTTGGGGTGCCAGGTTTAGGAGCCAGTGAACTGGGTCTGGGGGTCCCAGACTTAAATGGCGAGAAGGGAGAGTCTGTCCTGGATTTGGGGTGGTGATAGGGTCCCCAGTACCGGATCAGCGAGGCCCGGGCAGGCTCCACGATCAGCGGCAGTGGCAGCAGCGGCAGCAGCAGCGCTAGCGGCAACATCTTTAGGGACCCGATGTAGACGCTTCGGTTCTTTCCCCAGAGACTCCACCCTGTGCACCGCCCACCTCCGGGGTCCGGAGGCGAGGTGACCAAGAAGTGAAGTCTCTTAGCGGGTGAGGGAGGACGGAGTGGAGGGAGGGTGCGGTCAGAAAGCGGCAGGTGTTTTTGGAGGGATGTGTGGAGTAGTTTTGTAGGGTCGCCAGAAGGGTCAGCTGGTGTCGTGGGCTCGCCTCCATCGCAACTCCAAGTGGCGGGGGAGGGGAGGTCTCCTGCGGCCCCACCCCCACCCTCCCTCAATCCTTCAGGTACTGTCGCTTTTATTTGTGACTTTCATTTCACTTCACTTTTCTGAGACTCATTAACCACAAGAGTTTTCTTGGGCAAGCGAAGAGATGGGCGGGCTTTGTGAAGAAGATGGATCTGGAGGGAAGGGGAAGAGGGTTAGACTAGAGGCGCTCTGTCTCATAAATGGGACCCCCAACTCTTAAGAGGTTTATTTGGAAAATTCTGAAACACACACCAATTAAAGTAGCCCATAGCCCCATCGCCATCGAAAGAGCATCAAAATAATTGGCAGTGTCTTTATCTCTGGGCCTACCCCCTTTTTCATTAACTAAATTTCCCAAATATTAAATGAGAAAAATCTGGTTAGGGACGCCTGGGTGGCTCAGCGGTTGAGTGTCTGCCTTTGGCTCAGGGCGTGATCCCGGAGTCCCGGGATCGGTCCCACATCTGGCTCCCTGCATGGAGCCTGCTTCTCCCTCTGCCTGTCTATCTGTCTGTCTGTCTGTCTGTCTCTCTCTCTCTCTGCATCTCTCATGAATAAATAAATAAAATCTTAAAAAAAAAGAAAAAGAAAAATCTGGTTAAAAGGCAGATTCCTTGGCAAAACGCACCTCCCCCCACCTCATTCCCCCCTTCCCCCCCCCATCCCCTCCCAGGGATCCTGATTCCAAAGACATAGAGCCCAAGAACCTGCATTTTTTCTTAAGATTATATTTTTAAAGATTTTCTTTATTTATTCATAAGAGACACAGAGAGAGGCAGAGACATAGGCAGAGGGAGAAGCAGGCTCCTCAGAGGGGGACTCGATCCTGGAAACCCAGGATCACACCCTGAGCCAAAGGCAGAGATGCTCAACCACTGAGCCACCCAGGTGCCCAAGAACCTACATTTTTAAACAAGCCCACTGATCAGGGAGCTGCAGGCCTTTCTAAGAAACTATTTGACGTGTTGGTTTTCTAACTTAGATTTACATATCAATATCAGCTGGCATGATTATTAAAGTAAGTAAAAGACTTTACTTATTGATCAGTAAGGTTTCTTTGTCTTCAGTTAACCATATATCTTAAGAAAAATTTAGATGTAAAAAAAAAGAAAAATTTAGATGTAACTTACATATAGTAAAATGCACAAATTTTAAGTGCATGGCACTATGGCTTTGTTTATTTTCCCTGACAAATTATTATGAAAGATTTTTCAAGTGGATAGCAAAGTTGAAAGAATTGTAGGCCGAACCCCATTACATACCACCTCGGTTCTACAGTTCACTATTTTGCTGCATTTCCTCTGTTACACACATATCCAGCTGTCCATTCCTCTATTCACCCAACAACCCATCTATATTCATTATGTGTATTTCAAATAAGTTGCAGGGATCCCTGAGTGGTGCAGCGGTTTGGCACCTGCCTTTGGCTCAGGGCGCGATCCTGGAGACCCGGGATCGAATCCCATATCGGGCTCCCGGTGCATGGAGCCTGCTTCTCCCTCTGCCTATGTCTCTGCCTCTCTCTCTCTCTCTCTCTGTGACTATCATAAATAAATAAATTTTAAAAAAATTTAAAAAATTCAAATAAGTTGCAGACATTATATTCCTTACCCCTTAAGACTTAGCATTTACATCGCCAGCTTGATGGATTTTTGCATATGTATATGTGCTGGTAAATACCACCCAGATCAAGATATAAAACATTTCCAGTTCCCCAGAGTGAGAAGGTTCTTTCTCCCTCTCTTCCATTGTGTGCCCCAAAAAGTAACTAATACTCTGACCTCTATGACCACAAGTTATTTTTGCCTGGTTTTGAATGTTACATAAAATGAAGCACATGAATTTTTCCTTTGTGTCTGGTTTTAGTACTCAATTTTATGTCTTTGGATATATTTATTTTTATAACGACTTTATTTATTTATTTGAGAGACAGAGAGAGAGAGACAGAAAGAGAGCAGCAGAGGGAGAGGGAGAAGCAGGCTCCCCAATGAACAGGGAGCCAGACTTGGGTCTTGATTCTAGGACCCTGGGATCCCAGGAACTTGAGATCATGACCTGAGCCAAGGTAGACACTTTAAGCAACTGAGCCACCCAGGTGCTCCTTTGTGTATTTTAAAAAACTAGATGGGGCACCTGGCTGGCTCACTCAGTAGAACATGTAACTCTGGATTTCGGGGTTGTAAGTTTGAGCTCCATGTGAGGTATGGAGATTACTTAAAAAGTAAAATCTTAGGGACGCCTGGGTGGCTCAGCAGTTGAACATCTGCCTTTCGCCCAGGGTGTGACCCTGGAATCCTGGGATGGAGTCCCACATTGGGCTCCCTGCAGGGAGCTTGCTTCTCCCTCTGCCTGTGTCTCTGCCTCTCTCTGTGTGTCTCTCGTGAATAAATAAATAGAATCCTAAAAAATGAAATATAATCAACAGCTACATTGTATTCCAGGGGCACCTGGCTGGCTCCGTAGGAAGAACCTGGGACTCTTGATCTCAGGGTGATGAGTTAAAGCCCCATGTTGGGAATAGAGATTACTAAGATAAATAAATAAACAGACTTTAAACAAAACAAAACAAAACACAGCTACACAGTATCCCAGGGTATAAATGTAACACTATATATCCCATGCCCTACGTCAGTCCTTCTCCTTTTCAACATTATAAACAAGGTAGCAGTCATCTTTTATATATGTATTTTTCTGTGTACTAGTTCCAGGACATATCTGCATGATAAATTCTGATTTTTTAAGTGATCTCTACACCCAAGGTGGGCCTTAAGTTCATGACCCCAGAATCAAGAATCCTTTGCTCTACCCACTGAGCCAGGCAGGTACCCATGCATGACTATTTCTAGAACCATAATTGCTCCAGCAATGACCAGATCATCTAAATTATAGATCTGAATACATATTGCTTTTTACTCCCCAGAGTACTTGTAGTGATGTAGGCTTCCAATAGCAGGGGTGTGTGTGTGATAATAACCCCAATTTCCCCACAGCCTTGCCAAGCCTACATGTTATCTGATACGTAAAGAAAAAAAAATTCTTCCATTGTTCTTGAAGCATTCATTCCTTGACTATTAATGCTGTTGAGTATTTTCCTTTCTCTTTTTTTCTTGCTCTTTTTATTTCTTCCTTCAGAAATTTCTTTTATCTCTTGCACACAAGTGTATCAACATGTGCAGCCACACACACAGGTGAACACACTTCAAGACTCTTTAAAAACTCAAATAATTCTGTAAGACTTATTATGACAAGTCCTGCCCCACTCTTTCTCCCATTTTTTTCCTCCCAAGGGACAAACACTTTCATTTGTTTTAGTGAATAAATTTGGTATTGTTTCCACGTCTCTAAGTAGCACGTTTATATCACTACTTATTGCTTTGTCGGTTTTAGACATTATCTATCAGCACAGAAGTTCTGCAGATTCAGAAATTCAGGATTCAGCTGTCTTTCCTCCCTCTACCCACACTTCTTTTTTTTTTTTAAGATTTTATTTATTTATTCATGAGAGACACAGAGAAAGGCAGAGACATAGACAGAGGGAGGAGCAGGCTCCCTGTGGAGGGAGGCCCATGCGGGACTCAATTCCAGGACCCCAAGATCATGACCTGAGCTGAAGGCAGACCTGAGCCCAAGGCAGACACTCAACCACTGAGCCACCCAGGCGCCCCCCTCTACCTACACTTCTTATACACACTCTCCCTATTCCTGTTTAATATGCTCATGGAATCATTTTGGTTAGGTCACTCAGCATTGGGGCTCCTGAGTTGAGTTACAAGGGGGGTGGGTTAGGGGGAACTCAGGCAGGAGAAGCAGGTCTACAATCCCCAAGTTTCAGGAAGTATTCTCTACAGCACCATGAGCACATGTGGGCGTTTGGGGAAGGGGAATCCTGAAGGAACCATGAGTGGCTCAAGAGCTCTACAAATAATGATGCAAGAGAGAGAAGGAAACATTACAAGAGGCCAAGTTTGGAGTAGGGAGAAGGATTCAGTAACTAAATGGAGGGGTTGGTCCCCTTAAGCACTGTCCAAACATGGTTGTGGGAGGGGCAGCGGTGCACAAGGACCTCTGCAGGTGAGCTAGCAGTGTCCCTGGGGTAAGCACAGGGAAGGTTTCTTCTGGTGCCCCCCCCCTTTTTTTTTCAGCAAAAGGAGAAGTGAGAATGAAGAGGGGGGTGCTGGAGATTTTCAGAGAGGTGAGAATAGGACTTCTTAGAGAATGGAGAACAGAACCGGAGAGGCCTTTTAGGCTGGTTCTGAATGTTCCCTTGAGGTTTGGTGTCAGTGCAGCTGAGGTGTGTCTTCTGGCAAGCTCTGCTGGGGGGTGGGGGGAGTAGGCACAAAAAAGGCAGAGTCCATTTTAACCAGGCTTGAGGTTTGGCCAGGCAAGTGTGACCCAGGGAGAAAGAGCAAGGAAGTTGATGTAATGTGTGCAAGGACAGAACTGTGGAGTGTCTGGGGGGCTCAGTTGGTGAAGCGGCTGCCTTCGGATCAGGTCATGATCTCAGGGTCCTGGGATGGAGCCCCACATCAGGACAGGGAGCTGCTTCTCCCTCTGCCTCTCCCTCTGTTGGTTATCTCTCGTGCACACTCTCTCAAATAAATTAATTCCTTTAAAAAATATTTTATTTATTGATTCATGAGAGGGACGGCTGAGTGGCTCAGTGGTTGAGTGTTGGCCTTGGGCGCAGGGTGTGATCCTGGGAGTCCCAGGATCCAGGCCCACATCGGGCTCCCTGCATGGAGCCTGCTTCTCTCTCTGCCTATGTCTTTGCTTCTCTCTTTGTGTCTCTTATGAATAAATAAATAAATAAATTTTTTAAAAAAAGGGTAGGATCAAAGGATCAGACATACCAGTGGCATAAGGAATTGAAAGTCCCTTTATGATTTTGGCCCCCTTCTCTTTCTGACATCATCTCTCCCCTCCCTCCCTCACTCATCCAATCTAGTCACATTGGCCCCC